ATGCAGGACTAATTTCACTTACTGCAATGGTAACCTGAGGTTTTAGGCTCAGAGCATAAACGGTCCCAAATTGTCATCAGTGTTTATGTAGTTGAGGTTTTCCTTGATTTGGCTGAAAGCTGCCGGTTTGATAACAAATATAGTCCTTATTTACCGGGGTTTTTTTTAGCTCTGATTCGGCACTGTTTTCGTCTTCTGGGTATAACTGGTTTGTTTTCATAGTATACAGAAATGGTCATATGAAATTTCCAGTGTTTGGCAATTTTCTGTCGAGTGGGAGCTCATTTATAAGTCTGGTCCTTCGTAAATCTTGAAGCACAAGTGTTTTTCCCCTTCGTTTTCAGCCGATGAATACAGTCGTCCAATAAGTAAGTATCTGGTTTTACAAGATCTTTAATTATGTATATCAAAACATAATTCAATTACAAAACATCATGAAAGCACCCAAAATACACAGATGAACAATATGGATTAAGTAAACTTAATGAAGCTAGACAAATCATCCACGATTCTTCTGAATGCTTCAAAATTTCCTGTTTCGATTTCTTTTCAACAGTCAAGCCTTCGTATCCTTGTAAGTATATATACTAGAATAATTTTCACTTTCCTCAATATATTTATTGATATTTTTGCGATTTATTAATAAATTAGGAACATGTTTCAAAGGACTGTCAAGTCTGTTTGGAAGATAAGTCGTTTGAATCGGTAATGTAACAATAGTATACCGTTGTTACCGGATTAGCCTTTCCATTCGAAAGGCACAATACTTTTAATCGTTTGATTTTATGTTAATTTTTTGTCATTTTCAGCGCACAGGGCTATTTTGATTTTTGTATTCTGGGACTCCGAACACAGTAGTTCCCAAAGTGCGTAGTAACAGATTTTAGTGAAATGTGGATTTTCCAAGCAAACTCGGTTCGCTGATCAGCGCAACTGTGACAGTCAAAATGTGTTGAACGTGCTGAAAATTATATTTTGAAAGTCCAAGAAAAAAATCCTGGTCAGTTATCAAACTCCTTGCAAACAGCAGTCACTTTAGCAATGCTCTCTGCATAGCATTCACATTACTTCAAATGAGTAGGACCACAGCATCAAGCAATATAATCATAGAGGGAAAGATATAATTGCCTACTTTCACTTTTCCTGCTTTTTTTTTGACCTGTCACCAAATCGCCTTGTCCATTTTGAAAAACTAAAGAAAGATAATCGCGGTTCGATATTTATTCAGACTATTAACTTCATCAATGAGATTCCTGCATTGATTTGTACTCTATGTACAGACAACAGCTGCGAGTTGTGGTCTGCTTGGTGCGAGAATGGTGGAACATGCGTTCCTAATGGCCATTACGACTTCCGGTGTATATGTCCACCAGATTACTTCGGCAAGTACTGCGAATACGGTATGTAAGATGTCAATTTTTCTTTGCAGAACCACATAATGTTTTTTTTTATTTCTTTTAACGCTGAGTTAGGCAACAGACTATAATTCCTTATAAAATTACGTGTACACAACTTATGAACAAGTAAAGGTCGATACCAGGTAGGAGAGCGACGACGGATACGCACAGACCTTCCTTCTAAGTAGACTGTAAAAATACAGCCAGAAATTAGTCTAAGAAATACGCAACACATTAGAGTGGTGAACATACTTTTCTTCGGTAAACAATGTGCAGGTCGAAGGTTTAGATACACTTGGACTGAAGGTGTTTAATCAACATTCCTGACCTTTTTGATTTGTGATACCATTATTCCCCAGTAGCTGATCAGCAATTGAACGTTGAGTTTTTGACCATTTTTTGTAACGTGGGAGCACCTGACTTGTATTAATATAACGTTGAGTTCTCCGACAATCTTTAAGCACGATTGCTTCATTTTGCTTTGTTTTCAGGCGGTGAATACAGCCATCCCATAAGTAAGTATCTTCTTTTACATTATATACAATTATTCATGTCCAAACTTATTCTCTAACCAAACACCAAACAAAGTACGATAAACATCAAACATATTTTAGTAAATAAAAAAATCCAAAACAATTCACTAGAGAGCTTAACATTTTTCGTATCTCGATGTCTTTGTTTCCACAGTCGAGCCTTCGTACTCCTGTAAGTATATACGTATCATTTTTTTAATCTGATAAATTAGAAACAGTACATTGAGAGGCACAACTTAATTTTATCGTATATACTTTTAATCTTCAGTTTCTATACCATTTGTTTTCCTGTTTCCACACAGAGCTACATTGTTTTGATGTAATTAGGGCTATGCTTACCTCGCTTTTAAGATGTATTTGCATTTAGGCACGCCTCTACGTCCAAATGTTTGATGTGCTTTTTTTTAACTAATCAATGTTTATTCATGGTTTATTTCTAACAGCTGAGGAGTACTCTCACGATTACGTGACAGGTAACTTTTTTTCTGATCATCTATTGTTATTGAGGAGCTTTATGGTGGCGAATCAGGCCGTGTCCGTGTAGGGAACCTTGTGGCTACGGCTTGTCATTTAGCTCGTTACATTTAACAGCTGTAACTGAAGACCAAGATTCTAAACCCACTTGTTCTTATAATTACCTGATCATTTCAGTGTTCGCGCACAGTAGGCCTACTACATAGCCAGGAGAGAGATCCCTCTGGTGACCGATTTTGGCGGAATGAAATTTTCAAAGCGAACCCAGGACTCTGATTAAGGAAAATTGATACTGTGCATGCTGGGATCTTAACTTTGAATTGGAGCTGGGCTTCAAATTGAGCAAAACAATGGGAAGCTTCAAATTACCGATAATCAGCGTTAACAACTCAATCGCTCTTTGCATGAAATACGATGCGTGGCGACGATTTTGACGAAATAAAACAAACTAAGAAAGAAACACGAACATCAACTGAGTCACGACCTCTGGAAAAAGATTTATAGATCATGTCACATAGGCCCTATCGCAGACTGATTATTTGTTGTCACTTTTCTTGTCACTTTTTCAGGCAAGCCCGAACCCTCTGAATATCCAAGTATGTATGAAGAATTTCTTTTTATCATTTTAATTGGTACTTTGCAGACCTGTCTCTTTTTGCGAGATGTTGACAAATCCTAATGTTTTATTACTATTTTAGTAATCATTTTTAGAAAGTTTAAGGACGCAGGACAATACGGGTGGGTTCCGTCATTTGTACTGTAATGGAGGGATCCAAATACGACGCGTTTAGCATCGATCTGCGCACTTCCGCGTTTGAAAACGAGGCTGTTTCACACACACCCAAACACACATCGACAACGGTGCAATGAGTTAAACACAATGCACTGTCAGCCACAAAGAGAGTCTGTGCCTGCTGCTCACGATTCTTAGTTGTATTACGATTATACGATTGAAAGTAAGGAGTCAAGACACAAAATAAATACCGATAAAGGTACGTTAAATGTAGACTTTTCAGGCTGCAAAGTTTGGTGGAAGAAATTCCTTAACCAAAATTACCTCTTTTAAACTACCTTTTCAGGTGGTGACTACAGCGAGCCCATAAGTAAGTACCCGCTATAACATGATCTGTGCGTATATGGGTCATTCCACGAGGTTGGTGCAGAATATGTGACGGTGTCCTTGGTACATAGGTAACTTTTACCACCTGTCATGACCTGTAGAGTAGGTCGTTTGCTCTGTAAAAATAACACACACCTCTGTATTCAGCCTTGCAAGATGTATAAGTTTGAATCCAAATTCAGGGAAATAGCTGTTCATTTTTATGGAACCCACGTAGCAAAGGACACCGTCACAAATTGTTCCCCAACCTTATGGAATGACCCATATTCATTTTCACTTACATCACTAGGTAAGCGATATGAACAGTTTTAAATAAAGTAAACAATAATGGTTACAAAGTCTCAATAGTTTTTACCTGTTTGTGTTTTCCACAGTCGGGTCCTCGTTTCAATGTAAGTATACTTTTTAGTTTTGGTCCCATCTGTAGTAAAGATATTGATGTTATTTCATGAAAATATTAATAATTAATTGAATTAACAATGTAATTACATAGTTAGAGATAACATCTGTGGGGGTTGGATATATTTCCCCCCTACATTTTGAACGGGGGATGGGCTACTGAATCACCACCCACTTTCCGTGATCAGAAAGCAAACAAGGTGCTACATGTACTACAAGTGAAGTATAGTGACTTTTCACAAAGGAGGGTCAGCTGATTGTTTCTACCTCCATTGATTTGTGTTGCTTGCAATCTGATTTTCAGACAATGTCTGCGATTATTATGATTTGTGCCAAAACGGCGGGACCTGCGTTGCAACGGGCTTTGACATCGACTTCGAGTGTATCTGTCCACCGAGCTACTCTGGCTTTTTCTGCGAGAACGGTAATAATTGCTATTCTTAATCTTCTGCACCCCTCCATGATCGCACCTCAAATGGGAGACTTTGAGACGGTGGTGGCCGCAGACAATTGCAAACCAGTTCTTTTTTCCACTATTACGCGTGCTCAGAACTATGCCCGCTTACTCAGATCAACGCCCACAGTGCTGAGAACTGGTAAACAGGACTTCTGTGTTTGCTACCACCACGTGTCTCAAAATCTCTCACTTTAGAGTTTCTTTAACCCTAACTCCCAAGGGTGTGTGCAAAATTATATCCAAATTGGAGGATTCAGGGCTGTTAGGGTTAAAACAAAAATCATGATGGTGCAAAGTTTCCGTTTTTGGCGTGTCCCGGTGAAAGAACCTTGTATTTTAAATGTATATCTTGCGGTATGGGTTGGAATAAATGGGTTTTTGATGATTTTTTCCCTGGAAGCCCATTCCGTGGGCACTCTCTCAATCTGTTACCTGACGTGTTCTATGAAAAATATTGTACTCTTCTTGTTTCAACAGCGGACACAACTAAACCCTTCTACGGTTCTATCTACCATGTCATTAACAAAGTAAGTTAGACTGGTGGGTAAACTGGGCTTAATACACCGAGTCTGAAGAGTCTATGCAACCCATGGTCAAAACCAAAGCCCTTATAAAATAAATCACGTGTTTCAATCAAACTGATTTTTAATCTTTGTTTATGTCAAACGTAAATGATGCCTTTATGACCTTCATGAATTTCAATACTTATGGAGCAAAATGCGTTTCCATCCAAAGGAGAAAACTTCAATGTTGCACCGATTTGGGCGAGAACACTGCTGGAATTTGTGACGTTTTGCTCCATTAAAATTTCTTTTCTTTGGTAACAAGCAAACAAGCCTTACTTTCTCGGAAACAAGTTCAACTAGCAAGTGATTGGTTTACAGTTCAAATGGAAAAAATGCAACAGTCTTTCCCGAAGTGATCATTACTTTTGACTACATTGCCGTTACTTTGATTTCAAACGGGCGACTAACTAAAGTGCGCCTCCGAGAGTTTGCAACGCGTGGGCCAATTACAATGCGCGAAATCTATCGACCCAATGCGCGTTCAGAAAGCGCATTGTCATGCAATCACAACGCGCATTGTGATTGGCCAACGCGATGCAAACTCTTCGAGGTGCACTATTGTGAATCGCCCGTATTGCAGCGAACATTACTACAATAATAAAGATTAGGTAAGCGCTGTTCAAATCATTAAAACCGTGACGACTCCTTACCCTTTTCCTCTTTCTTTTTGGCACATGCAGCGCAAATAAGCCGTGACATCACGTTATGGACCCCACTTCTGGCACTGAAAAACGCCTGATGAAGACACAACCCTGCGGCCTAACCAGCGTAGTTAGATAGCCAGGACGGCACTGTAATTATACCAAGGAAGAGAGTGAATGCTGTAATTTTGAGAAACAAAATTCTATATGTAACATATGACAATTGGGGAGCCTCATTTCAGAAACTATTCTGGAAATCTAAAATTCTGTATGTAATGAGCGTCCAATATTGGACCATGCTTCGTAGCTATGTTATAGAGGATGAAAAGGTATCTGTGGCATAAATATCAAAAATTAAACCCATTCTTGAAGTTTTGTCGTTATGGAGCTATTGCCTGGTAGATGAGAAATCGCCATTAGAGAATGCATTTCACTATACGAAACTTTGTATCCGTCTATATTAAACTCTTGTGGGATATAATTTTAGCACATTCATGAGTTCACACATGAGGAATATCTTCTTCTGGAAGATCATAAACAAGCGTCCTCATAAAATGAATGGAAACCTGATCCTATAAAAAAATTAAGTTACAAATGAACAGGCTAATGTACACTCTGTACAAGGGGAACCATGAACGCTTCTCTTATATAACCTCATTGTGCTCGCTTTTAAACACCAAATCTGATGACTGCGTCATCAGAAAAGGAAATTAGGTGTGCTTGAAGCAAAGCCTGAAAGTTAAACAAAACGACAAAAGAATGCACAGAACTTCTATTCCTGTAGCGTATAAATCAAGGCTTACAATATGTGATTATTTCAACAGCAAATGCTACTCCTTTGGAACCATATTTTTTGTATGGTGGCCGTAGATCACCCAAGGCAAACATTCTGGAGCCGACTGGAATCAGTAAATTAGGAGAATACTAAGTTTACTGATCTACTTCTTCCTAACGTTAGAGTAGAGAGCCAAATGTCCATCTGACTACAAATAGGCTACTTATCGTCAATGTTTATTTTCGTCATTTAACACGGATGAACCTATTCTGAATAATGAAGTTGTCAAATAAAGTCCTGGAAGAGCAAGCATAACGTAATGCTTCCAATTTGCTGAAACTTTTTTGAAAGCTGTCAAGTCCTGTGCAACGAAAGAGATGACAACAATTCGCGTGGAAATCATCTTGGAGATCGAACAGGCCTCGCAAAACTCGCAGTGCAAAACCTAAGTCAAAACGGCATCATTTCAAGAAAAAAGATTGGCCTGTCTATGTCCAGATAAACTACAGTGGTCGGCGTGGCAGCATGTGACAAAAGGAAACTTTCCATACAGGCTGAAGAAAGAGCAATGGAGCCTTTCCCCCAGACTAACGATATCTATGTACCGACTGGATACTGCACCGATTCCAAGGGCTCGAGTACAGCAGTTTTTAGTCCCTATATCGTCCTTTGGGCTTTGAATGTATAGCAGTGGCGTATCCAGCAGGGGTTGGGGCAGTTGGCAACTTGCCGGTAATCGGTATATTCATTTATCGAATATTAGAACCAAAACCCTAAGAACACAACATATGCAAGTAAAAGCAATTAAGATGTTGAGACCGTGAGTAAGGGTTTTGATATTGGCACGAAGCCTCATTCACTTTTGAATTTGCTACCCTAACCAAAAGCTGGATAAGCCGCTAATGTAAGAGAGAGCAGTAGCGGTTCATGTATTCCTCTGGACTAGTGGTGTGAAAATTGGGAAAACTGGGACATAAAAAAAAATTGGGAATGATTAGTTTACACAGTGCAATGGACAATCAATAAATGACTGTGCTAATCAAAAATTTTGCATTTTGCTCTTTATAAGCCAACGCAAGTTTACACTGCTCTTGTTACAGTGAATGGGAAAAAGAATTATTTGGTGCAATAATGTAGTTGCCATAAGATGTGACCAGAAGAACAGTCATTTTTGAGGCCTCCAAAACCAGAGTAGCGATGGCCTCCTTTATTTGTGAAGAGACTCTCTAAAGAGACGAATATTCCGGATGGGTCACGCAGGAAGTTGGGCCACACTGCAGCATGGTTATGTAGGGAGCGATGATCAACCCCAACTGTCAATCAACGTCGTTCCCATCAATCCGTGCGCTACTGAAAGGTTCTTTCTCTCATTAGTGTTGGATCGCGACGGCCTTTCACACGCAGCTCTACGTCAGTTTCCGACATACATGTATATCGTCACCGCAAGTATATGCCCCTGTAGTCCTGTTTGCCTGCGCAGAAGATGGAAGGAATAAAACACCAACAACATTTTGGCAGACATACCTGAAGAGAATTAGCGACGCGTGTGCATCAGTTTGGGGTTCGTGGGTCCTGGGCCCACGTTGGTTGAGGTTCTGTTCTCTGGTACGGAAGACTAATTAATCACACACTTGATTATACTCTCCTTTAGGTTTACTGATTTGCAGCCAACACAAAAATCCAAGGTGGAACAAAATCCATGGTCCTAGCTATAACAAAATCTTGAATAACACTGACATTTATCACAGAGACATTATCTTTAATTAATATAGTCATACATGATTCAAATTATACTTAGTAGAGATAATCCCAATAATGTGGACACACATCAAACCCACCCTGCACCTCGCAACAGTCTTTGGAATAATTACTATATGCTGCATGTTCTTGAGACTGTTAAATTAAATTCTAGCACAATGACAGCACCAGAAGAACTGACCATCTGCAAAGTAAATCCAAACAATAATCCAATTACTTTGCGTCGCTCATTACTTGACAGGTTGGAATGATTACAAAAGCACGTACAAACCGCAAGCCCTGGGTCAGGGGTCACAATGGAAAAGTACAATGTACATGTACATGTACAACAGTTCATCCACGGCGCGTAAACTACACGTGCCACTTCACCCATGCAGCCTATACGCATACACATTGAAACACACAGGTAACACTTCAGAAAAGTTACATGACTGAAGTCACGGGTAAGACGTAAAATGTTCCCAATTATCACATAAAATAAATATACAGCGTTCGTGAAAGGATCACCAAAATACCCAGTGCTCCCCTACAACTAGCATATATTTACCAATGGGCTAAACTGGCTATCGGAACCCTGGGAAAGCGTGTCCTGAAGCCACGAGCATGTCTCCCTAGAGTCAGGAAAATCAATGATGTGGGCGGAACGCCCAGAGACTACTTATCCATATTGATGAGGGCCCTACATAGCCGAGGTCATTTTTGACACTAATTTGTGAAAACGGAACCAACTGGTCTTGCGCAGCGCTCAATTTTTTCTGAGACGAATCACTAGTCAAAAATATATACTTTTCCACTGTGTTGCTCAGTGCACGCGGGCTTGCACTCGTGACGCCTTGCACTTCAAATGACCGTAACAGCAACATGTCTTATTGAGTTCAAATTTTCTAGGCCTATTTGTGATGATAAAGAGTGGGTTTATGTGCCTGGCAAGGTTTTAAAAATAGACTGTGACATAGCCGATCGAGTTCTTGGGGAGGGGGTGGAATCCGTCAGGAATGCTCTACCCTCTACACGTAAAGTTTTACCGGAACCATTTAGACCACGGCAAGCGTACATTTAAGTATTAAACGTGATATCAACGTTAAATCATGCTAATAAATTAAGTAATATTTAACAGGCTTTGCATCACAATGGTCCGTTATCGTTTTCCTACGTGGAAACCGAAAATATAAACTGCATGCTATAGGCATACCGTCATAAAACGTGAAAAATGTAACTCAATATCGGTTGACTTTTCTCGTTTTTACATGTTATCAGCTGTTTGTACAAACGTATCTTTTGTCAGACGGCAAACGAATTTAAGGCCTGAGTTCTCAAATGCAGCGTGATGGCTTCACCTGTGCAAACATGTTTAAAACAATATTTTCATGACAACACCTAGGTATGTGTTTACTTTTTGAGTATAATGGCTCCTCAAACAAATCGATAAGTAAATGTCTCCTTCGAAGCGTGCTTCGCATGATTATTTATCTTTAGATCAATACTAAACAACTAACAAGTGTATAACCGCTGCGAAAATTTTGACACACACAGCCAGACACGATAAAACTTTCCAACGGATGAAGTTATGCTTCGGCAACCATACAGTAAGTAATCAACTATGCAAAAGGAAAGTTAGATGGCTGCAGGACTAGTAATCTAAGCATTCAGAACACTGCTTAAGCCATGTTATAAAAAAAGGAGATCCGTGCTGGTTACTCGGAATTGCCAAAAAAAGACCAACTCACCCAAGAATAGTGTACACAACGTGCGGTACACTGCAACATGCACTGAAGACAATGACTTTGGGGTGATGGGACTATGTTAAATTACAGTCGTAGCATTGGCATGCTGGTACCATTGGTTTGAAACTATGGCTAGTCGCTAGCAGAAAAAAATTAAATCAGTCACTCACAAGTGAAAGAATAATTGCGAAAAGAATTTTCAAACAATCCCGTAAACAATTTAGGTATTTAATAATGAAAATACGTACAGGCCTATCAAAAATGACTGATTTTGAGGAGCAAGGAGTAGTGAATTCTTTTTTAAAACTTTGACTGCCCTAGCAAACAGGAAGCATCAAGAGAAAGGTCAATCAGCAAGTTTGTGCGAAAACACCGACGTGCTGAATAAAGCCTTTGCATCTGAGTGTATAATGCATAATCACATGTTCTGCTTTCTCTTAATTTGCCCTTTTATAATATGATCATGACACACAAAAATAAATTGCTTTTTCCATTTCCATTTTCTTCTTGCTTTGTTCTTGACATTATTTTCAGTTGCCTCAAGGACTGATCCTTAATTGCTACACTAAAGTCGCTAACAATTCTCCCGCTGTTCATTTTCATTCCGCCCACCATTGTCTGTCTTCTCATCCATTTTTGGAGTACATAGTCAAACATCTGCTAATATGTACGACGAAAGTGTCCCTCGAGCTGGAAGCACGTAAGTCGCGACAAATGAAATAATGATTCTTAACAATCTATGTGAATCATGCGTCAAGTGCTTAATATCAACAAATAGGAACCCATTTAATTGTGGCAACATCGAAGTAGATAGGCCTACTCCTGAAAGGGAGCAGAGATGGTTTTCAGGAACATGCGATTGTTCAGAAAGAACGGATAATTAGAATCATCATCTTCTTTGCAGCAGTTGTGCGGTTTGAAATGCTTGTTATTTTTATTTAAAACAAAGGAAATAAAATAAATGCTTCTATACTTCAAGCAATCTACAATACTGTTCGCAAATACAGATAACGAGAGCACAATTAGCATTACGCGCTCAGGGACGAATTTTAAGCGGGGTAGAGCGCCCTCAAGCGATAGGGGTTACTGTCAACATTGGTTTAACTTTTGCACAGATTTTTTTAAGTTTCGAGTGGTTGCAAAAAAACATTGCCGCACAACTTGCTGAAATACGAACTTGGGAAACTTTGGGAAAACGAAACTAAGTCAATTATTAACGCTTGCATGTTAACTATAGCATGAAAACTACTGGATTTTTAGAGCGAACAAAATTGCAGTCATCACATTTTGCACCTGTTTGCTTTCGATTCATTATTTCAATTTATTTCAAAACAAACATAACAAACATAATCGAACCGACATGCCCTGCATACTCTGTTAAAAGATACACCTGTTCAACTATTAGTTTAGTCACGAAAAACTTTATAAATAGGCTAGATTTGGGGACAAGTTTCAATTAGTCTTCTGAGAAACACCAACGCACAGCTATGGAGGCAACTCGATTCGCGCTACTCGTGGCCATTATCGGAGGTAAGTAGCTAATTGCGTTACAGTCTAGCCAAAGTGTATACGCAACTATATCATCAGCAAACTACAAAATTTATTGCTGCTTTGTTAAATGGGGAATTCATTGTTCGACGTTAAGCATGCCCACGATGTTTTGATACTGTTGTTTTAGTAACGAAAGTGCAATATTCACACATACATGTACACCCATTGCTGACCTGATGTTGGCACAATGGTGCAGTGATGAAATTGGGTCTGTTTTAAGGTTGGGTCTTAGTGTTCCTTTCATATTTCTTCACATAACTGGCCCACAAAGTACACGCATCGATATTGTTTTTACTGTGCAACTGCACGCCACGAAAAACACTCCTGCCTTTTCGGATCAATAAATATGCTTGAGTTTTAACATGCATATCCTAATCTGGACACCAATGTTGTTGTATAATGGTTTGCTGTCCATATAACAGTTCACATGTATGCAAAATATTGATTTGAAGTAAAAAAAAAATGGAAATAATTACGGAAACTCCGAATGGATCCGAAAAATCCCACAAATAAATCGAAACCTACCTGTTATTACAGCATGATATATATCTTTTTCAAATGACAAGACAGAACCTATCAAAAGAAGACCTAAAATTTGGTTATTTTATATTTTGCTTTATTCTGCAGCCGTACACGCAGCTCCAAAAGAGAGTAAGTTTCTTGTTTAATGGAAAGGATTTCTGTTTGGTTAAGAAAGGGTGGAAATGTTTTCAACCTCAAATAAAAGTAGATACTGATATTTAACCAAGGACCGACTCAATGGAACTATTTTGACGTACGTGTCCAGTTTCCCATCAGTTCGTTATTTCCTCTGAAACGGAGTTTTTCATCTTTATTGACTATACCTTCTCATTATGTTTTATATAATGTGATATAATACGGTATTCCGTAATGTTAAGACAGATTTCAAGAAGAAAAAACTTTATTTTTACAGCCTTTTGAGATCCAAACAAAATTGAAAAAGTTTTTCTAAGTTAAGAGAGCCATTCCCTTTATTTACTTGGCAAACAGTAAACTGCATAAATTCATATATTAAACCGACAAATGTTTTGCAAAACATGACTCTATAAAATTTATTTACGTATTATAAAGCATTTTATTCTGAAAAGAATTTACATATGCCGAGGTACATACTTTATATAAAATAGTCTCAGTGAAGAACAAATCGTTCAAAAATATCGACACTTCATCCAGGGTTAAGGTGGTTTGGGCGGAAAAAGCTGTTTATAATTTTGAGAGATATAAATGTGTAAATTCCTATATTTTTTCATGAGTTTTGTTGACTTCATGGAGTATGCTCTCTCTTTTGTGATATTAAATAATTATCTTTTTATATTCAAGGATTTATGACACCAGCGCTTGCACCAACTGGTAAGTGAAATAACTCCATTTGGTTGTATGGAAACAAAACAATTGTTCCGGTGATACCGTTGCATTACACAATGCATAACATTTTCTGATCTATCTACGACATCATCATACCTTTGCTCAGTTCAGTCTGCTCGCGAGCAGAAGTGCAGGCTTTTTCAAGATCTCATGCTCTGTCACTGCTCTGTCTTCTCAGAATGTAAGCCCCATGGGGCCCGACCCTTTTCCGGGTTAAAATATGAGTCCCTTTGGGGTCTTATTTGACCCTTTCTGGGCACCAGGAAAAAATACCAGTTGTTTGTTTGTTTCATTTTAGTCTCATATTGGAGTACTGTGCCTCAGATTCAAGCCACTCTGTTAGACAAGAAGCTGTATCCGTCATTTCCCAAAGTAGCACTATTTTCTGACCGTTTTGACTTTCTACGGCCCTCATTCACGAGATGGCCATTTAAGTCAGTCTTATATCCCCATTTTTAAAGGTACACTCTCATAATGGTGATGTGTCTAATTATAATAGACCGCATTCGCAGAGTACCCAATTTCATTCGTATTCCTGAACGTAATGTATACATTTGAAACCAGTTACGAAACTACGGGGGGGGGCACGGGGAAAGGCCCCCAGTGAATGCCTGTGCCACCTGGGTGCCCCCCCCCGAAATCCATGAACAACCTCTGCAGCAGCTCATTGTCTTTTGGTGCTCCTTGAAAAAACTGTGTGTGCCCCCAATATTCCCTTGGATAATTACGTTGGGGAATCCGACTAAAATTGGAAACCCAGCGAACACGGTCTATTGTAGGGCTTATCGACACAAGAGTAATTTGCAGCTACACCACTTACAACAAGTCATATTTAAGGTCGTGTTTCTCTCTCTGTTCTCATTCTAACTGACGATCCCTCAGTGGGTATATCGACTCTGACCTGTGGGCCTAGTTTCGGGCGATTCTTTGAAAATAAAGACAGATTTGTGGCGCGAAGTTTATTGCTTCCGGTCCTTCTGATCGACTGAAACTAAACAACAGTAGACAACTGGTTTTAATGTATTAATTAGGAAAGTAATGATGAAAAAGTTGACATCAGAGCCTAGCCCCACGCCTGCGCCCTGAGTATGCAGTAATAATGATTTGAATATATGAAACCTACCGTTTTGTAATTTTATGAAGACAAGCACGAATGCGGATACGATCAGTTTCAGTGCAACAAT